GCACGAAACAAGGATGCCCACTGTCTCCCTTCTTATTTATCCTGGCTCTGGAACCCCTAGCAATCCGCATCCGAGCAGCCACAGACATCAAGGGAGTGGAAATAAAAGGCAGAACCTATAAATTAGGGCTCTTTGCAGATGACCTAATGGTCACAACACCAGACCCCATAAGCACAGCAACCTCCCTAATCAGAGAACTCAACGCATTTGCAATGGTGTCGGGCCTACAGGTAAATTTCACAAAGTCAGAAGCTATGTGCTTCAACACCCCTCCTCACACCCAAAAAGAACTCACGAAGGTCACCAAAATAAAACTTTGCCACACCAAGTTCAGATACCTAGGGGTACAAATAACCAGAAACCTCAATAAATTATACCTCCACAACTACAAGCCCCTGTGGCGACAAATTAACAAAGACCTAAAGAGATGGAATAACATGAACCTCACTCTCTCAGACAAAATAGCCATGATCAAAATGACCACACTCCCAAAACTAACCTACCTATTCCAAACCCTCCCAATCTGGATCCCCTCAACCCAACTTCACAGTTGGCAGAGAAAACTACACTCTTTCATCTTCTCACATAAAAAACCAAGAATAAGCCCCAAATACCTGCACCTCCCCACCTCAGAAGGAGGATGGGGAATCCCCAACATAGAAGCATATTACACTGCCAACCAAATACGCCATATAATCCCATATATACTAGAAGATGAGACAAAACAATGGGTACACCTAGAGAGGGACACAATTGAAAACACCTGCACCACAACATACCCACTCCTCCCAGACAAACTAAGGAAAATTCCCACAACACTTAACAGGTACACACAGACCATGCTCAAAGCATGGAAAACACAAATAGGCAAACTATCCCCAACCCCATCCCCACTAATCCCCCTGGCGTACCACCCATTATTCCACCATGCAGCACAAAACCTCCAGATAAAAACCTGGCGAACCAAAGGCTTATATCGCCTAATAGACTTCTATAAAAACAACAAACCCTTGTCAACACAAGAAATACAAGACAAACTAGAAGACACCCAAATGCCCTGGTTAACACAACACCAACTACATGCCCTCTTAAACAACCCAACAGTAAAATCAGCAGCAACTAGGCCCCTGACAACCTTCGAAAACCTCCTCCTAACAACAAAGGGAAACGGTAAAGGGATGGTATCCGCAATATACAAAATACTGCTCCAAAATCCCGCAAATCCGCTAGACGCAATCAAAAAACAATGGGAGAATGACATAGGCTATGAGATTAACCCCACTCAATGGACCAGAATGTGGTCTAAACCCCCCTTTAAATCCATATCAACGAAAAGAAAAGAACTCACACTGAAACTCACCTACAGGTGGTACCTAACACCAAGGAAACTAGCGCTAATACACCCAGGAACCTCACCAAAATGCTGGAGAGGGTGCACCTCCACAGGCACATACTTCCACATGTGGTGGGAGTGTCCCAAAATCCAACTATTCTGGACAACAGCCATACAAGAAATTTGTAAAATAACTAAGCAAGTAATAGACACCACCCCAGAATTGGCCCTACTAAACATCTTCCAAGACAACAATGCCCATTTACACCACAAAGAACTCATAACCCACCTGCTCTCAGCAGCCAGAAACACCATAACCAGACACTGGAGAGACCTGTCAGGAGTAAGCATGGACCAATGGTATCAAATAGTATGGGAAACAGCCCTACTAGAAAAATTAACTAATAAACTGAAACTGACACGGGGACAAACAGAAGAAGATGCCTTCACCCCGGTATGGCTCCCCTTTATCACACACACAGCCCAACAGGACAATGACAATAATCCACCAACAGCATACAAATCAATATGGCTAACCTGATCCAAAACACCCACCCACCTCACTCACACACGAAAACAAAAGATCACCACAGCCAATCACAAGCAAACAATCACACCCTAGGCCAACCCCAACCTCTCTCACCACCAAAGGAACACAAGTGAACAACACAAGCACGCTGACACCAAACTCTACATACATTAAACATAATAGAAACACCGCCACCCAATCCCACCCTTATCCATCTTCCCCCTCTCCACCCCCCTTTCTTTTTTCTCTCCTTTTTTATTTTTTATTTTTATTTTCTTCTCCCCCTAATGCCTCAACAAATGAAACGGATTTGTAAAAATGTTACATGGGGAAAAATATATATGAGGCACTACACTTCTGTAAAACAAGAAAATCCTTAATAAAATATATAAAAAAAAAAAAACCTGAGCTCCTTGAAAAAAAAAAAAAAATTTACTTTCCAAAGATGTGATGTGCTGGCCCTATAGACTATATTCGTAGCACTGTCATCCACGAACTGCAATTCCTCATGAACATTCCTTGAGTTCTGAGTTCACTCAAGGAACTAAAAAGGCTAAAACAAAAGGAACAGTATTGACATTTTTATATATTGCAATGCAAAGGATTTAAACTTGCATGGGAAAATTTTGCGTCGGCCCAAACTGCCTCCAGACAAATGTATGCAGCCTGAGCATTAGTCTTGGCAATTAAACTGAGAAAGGGGAACAGCAAGTCACCCTTTGCTACTGCAGAAGCCCACAAAGAACCAAAGGCCCCTAACTGTATGACCTACCTTTCACTTACATGTTTAAAAACATGTTTAACTTGCTGAGTCCTCTACTACACAGCTTTTATATAAATGAAGCTGAATTCAGAGATTCAGAGAAAGGCAAGAACAAAGCAAGCGCTGGGAGGAAGTATTGAGAAACGACATGGGATAACAGTGGTGGGAAAAGAAAAAAAACTTCTGAAAAGTTTCAAAAATTAAATAAAAGAGGAAATGTTGGGGGAAAGTATCATGCACCACGGGATCAGTGAGCCTAGGGCTGCAATCTCACTGCGGGCGGCTTCCCCCTTTCCTGGTTGGTGGGGCTGGAGGAGTCGCGGAGGATAAACGACAGAAGCAATTCCGGCAAGTTCAAGAGGAAGGAGAAGGGAAGATCTGCTGCCCCCCGAAGGAGCGCGCCTCCTACAGTCCCTTTATGATCCCCCACGTGCTCCTCCTCCACCTTCTTGGACCTCTCTTACCCAGAGCCAGGACCAAGAGCAACTCTTACTCCCTGTGCAGCTCAGGGCTTAGGCTTCTTCCCTTCTCCCGCGCGCAGACAGAAGCTTCCACCCGGCCGCTCCTCTGTCCGCGTTACCTGGTTCCTTGGGCTACATGGGCGGAAGGAGTTGTTTTCAGGTCTCCGTTACTGTGGCAACCGCAGAACTTCGCCGAGCGTCATGGGACTTGTAGGACTCGACAAAGGGGGCTCGTCGCTCGCAGCCCGCCTCCCCTTCTCCACCGCGGCGCAAAGGTTTCCTTGTTTATCCCGGCAGCAGAGGCCCCAAGTTATCCGTCCCCCACCCCCACCCCGGGCCGTGAGAAAAATAAATCGATTCGAGAGATCGACTCCCTCTGCGATCTCACCCATAAACAAGCGCGCACTTTCCTAATGGGCAGTGTGATGGGTATCACGCATCTCTCGGGGACTCTTCAGGTGTAGGGTAGCCAACGTGGCTTCTGTCCAACTAGGGCAAAGGATCCTGTCGAATAAAGGGGCAGACTCCAGAGAGTGGCACCCAATACAATGCGTTGTGTGTTTTTAGCAGGGAGAGTTTCTCTCTTGACTTCATCCGCCGCTGGACCCTGGAGGGGAAAGGGAACCAAAGTTCTGCTCTCCTTATAACAACAATAATAATGTGGGGTCGCTCCCCCCTCCCCAGGTGGGGTGAGATGGGCAGAAGAGGGAGCTGCAGTTCCGTTTGGTTCAGACTCGGCGGCGGCAGCAGGTTGGGGATGGGTTTCTTTGTCCCACCGCCAGGCCCAGCGAGAGTGGCTGACGATTACATTTCTTTCCCTTTGACCATGGCTGTCAACTTTTCCCTTTTCTTGCGCGGAATCCTATTCGGAATAAGGGGATTTCCCTTAAAAAATGGGAAAAGTTGACAACTATGCCTTTGACATCTCTGCTGTCTGAAATGAGTGGAAATCTGGATAGGTTTCTTTTTATCAAATACGTGGTTCGGAGAAATGTCACTGGTCTTTATTTTGGAATAAGTAAGTACGTTGCTGGCAGCATCGAGAGTCTATTGAAACTGTCAAATGTCTAATATTTTTGGTAAAAATAAAACCATAAAACATTTTCCATCACTCTCATACACACACAGAATACACCATTCAAATGGGCATGTTTAGTAAGAGCTATACAAGGTACTAAAACTTGAGATTTTGGAGGATCCAATGTAAAACCAATATAAAATTAGTTTTATATTCTGATGCTTTTCATCCAGAGTTTTGCAGGTCAGGGTGCAGGATCCACCTCATCTCAATGTATGCCAATACTTTTTTTTTGGCCTGGCCATTTATGGGAGCAGTCCTAAAATCCACTGTGTGTAATAAACAACCGATCACTGGACCAATGGCCATGGAGGAGAAGCCAGCGCATTTCAATGGCTCTTCTACCTCATTCATTTTAGTGTTGTTCTCACTTTTGGATCCTGGTTTGCAACCCGCCTTAAAAATGAGCAAGGTTGGGACCTGAATTCTTGTTTCCGCGGCAGCTCTTTCATAGCTTCTACTTCCCTCTTTTGGGAAAAGGGGGAGGGGAACCCGAAAGTTTTAACAGAACCTGACGTGCCTTGCTTTGACAAGAGGGTATATGCAGGCCCTTGGACGCAGAAGAAGCCGATTGAGAAAAAAGCTGCCCCACATAGCTGTCTCTCTCCTCTCTGCCGGCCCTCCCTCGCCGCCTTGCCCTCCCCTGCCTGGATTGGTGCACCGCTGTCCCTGGCCTTTTAAGGGCTGTCCCCCGGTCAATCTAAAGCGACGAGCGCGGGGGGCAGGTGCAAGTCCTCCTGCAATGGATACTTTTACCAGCCAATCGTGCCCTGGCCCGTCTGCTCCCCAAATGCCTTGGAGCCAATGAGCTGATGCGGAGCGGGGTGGGGGTGGGGTGGGAACGGCAGGGAACCAGCGGAGCCCAGGAGTCGCAGGGATTCTTCGGGGATTCTCGCTCCGCTCCGGGCAAAGAGGGCCGCGCGCTGCGCTTGCTCCTGAGCTGACACGGAAGGCGCGCTGCTGCTGCTGCTTCCCCTTGCTGCGGGTTCCCTCTGGGTGTCGTCGGAATGGTGATCAAAGTGTTCGTAGCGACGTCCTCGGGGTCTACCATGGTAGGTATGGCCAGGCGATGTACGTTCCCACGGGTAAGAGCTTCCAGAAACTTTGGGAAGGACTTTGTTGACGAGGAAAGGGGCGTGGTGCACATACGTACCGAATGGCCTGTCTTGGGTGTCTTGTGGTTTTTTTGCAAATCCAGGAGGGCCATGGGATTGGTCTGCAGCTGCAGTTAAAGTCAACAGCTTAATGCATCTCAGGAAGCGGGTTTGAGTCCACCGAAACTGACCGACACGTGTCCGTTATTATTTAAACGGAGGCGCACCGCAATCTTCCCGACTGATTCAAGGTGCAGAGAAAAACGGAGGCTGAAATACTCTACTTCCTCAGGAGTAAGCCTACTTGAACTCACGGGGACATTCTTCTGAGTAGGATTGCCCTGTGGAATAATGCCACATCTTTGTGCATGCCTGCACATCAGTGAAAAAAACAACCTTTGCACAACATATTCCTTTTAGCAAGTTTTGCCGATCTTTTCTTTTTCTTTTTTTAAAGCATAATGCTTTTGCTATTGGAACAATAATGATCAGGCTTGGTTGTGGTGTGTAGAATTTTTCTTTTTTTGAGAAATATTGCTATATAAGGGGTACTGCTCACGTGCACAAAAATTAAGCACATGCTATCTTAACATTGCCATCTTAACATTTTAAATCTTTATTACTGTGAGTTTTGAGCATGTCTACTGTTAAGTGATCAGAACAGCTATGCTGGCTGAAACTAGCAAACGGCATGCACTGAGAAGTTTGGAAGGTGGGACCTGGGCATGAACTGTTTCCTTTTATATCCAGTTCCCACATGAGCTCAAATTGCAGCCCTGGCTGAGCAATCAGTCACAGTGACACTTCTAAACAAACTGACTGCTGCTTGCACATAGCTCCGAGGCTGTATTGCTAACTGGCTTGCACTAACACAACCTCAAGAAGTTTCCAGAGCAGAAGGACTTGAAAAGGACTAAATGGAAAAGCTTGTCTTCTCCGCAACTGCAGGCTGCTCTCTTTAGCACCTGGGTAGCAGAGCTTCCATTTGGCCCAATATACTTCAAAGAGTATTTGCATTTGATTGTGTATAATGGATGATGCCATTTGCTCACCACCTGCAAATATAACATTGTCCCACACCTGTAATTAGGATGCAGTGCTTATAGTGTAATCCCAAGCATGAGGCTGCAGTCCTATATTTATTAAGACTCATTGAATTCAGTGGGACTTTCCTCAGAGTGGATATGCACAGGATTGTGGGGTAAAGCTTCTTGGTTCAGAAATATACTTCTTCTTCTTTTTTTTTTTTTTTGAAAACTGAAATTGCTAGATTGATCAACTAAAACAAATAAGATTCATCAATTAAATTTCTTTAAGCAGGTTGCAACCCTAGTTGTTCCACTGTAGTGGATTGTCATGTGGCAGAACTTAATACCTCCTGTAGTATATATGATCCATGTTATGAGTACAGTCAGAAAAGGATTGGATATGGAGACAAAGAACCTCAGACTCCTCTTACTGGCTTAGCATATTCTTACTAGTGTGAATTGGGGTGTGTATAAGAGTCAAAGAAGGCATTTTTAATTCACTGGATTCCCTAGCACTTTTGTTTTAAATAGGAATAGTATTCTTCTAACACCACCATCCTAACCATGTCTACTCAGGGGTAAGTTCTATTGACTTCAGTGGGGATTCCTGCCAGATAATTGATGTTAGGATTGCACCCTAAATAATAATAATAATTTTTATTTATACCCCGCCCTCCTCAACCAAGACCGGGCTCAGGGCGGCTAACAACCAATAATAAAAACAAGCTGATTAAAATACAATTTAAAAAAGAAGATCAAAATACAACATTAAAACATTAGGATGCAGCCTCTTCACAGGAAGAGAAAGGAAAAAGAAAGAGGGGAAACTGTAAAAAAAAAAGCCTTTTTACACTCCTGTTTATTTATCATAGGCATCTGGGTCCTATTATAAACCATCCTCCTTCCATTATTTTCAGCGAGATGACCGTCGCAACCCCAGAGTTGTCTGCGACTGGACCTAATGGTCAGGGGTCCCTTTACTAGGTACCCCTGACCATTAGGTCCAGTCACGGACTACTCTGGGGTTGCACGCTCATCTCGCTCTATAGGCCGAGGGAGCCGGCGTTTGTCCGCAGACAGCTTCCGGGTTGTGTGGCCAGCATGACTAAGCTGCTTCTGGCAAACCAGAGCAGCGCACAGAAACACTGTTTACCTTCCCGCAGGAGCAGTACCTATTTATCTGCTTGCACTGTCGCAGGGATTCGAGCTGCAGACCTTCCGATTGGCAAGCCCTAGGCCATGGGTAGGCAAACTAAGGCCCGGGGGCCGGATCCAGCTCAATCGCCTTCTAAATCCAGCCTGCGGACGGTCCAGGAATCAGCTTGTTTTTACATGAGTAGAATGTGTCCTTTTATTTAAAATGCATCTCTGGGTTATTTGTGAGGCATAGGAATTCATTTTTTCTTTTCAAAATATAGTCCGGCCCCCCACAAGGTCTGAGGGACAGTGGACCGGCCCTCTGCTGAAAAAGTTTGCTGACCCCTGCCCTAGGCTCTGTGGTTTAGACCACAGTGCCACCCGCGTCCCTTCATGTATACTATAACTTCCCCCAAAGGCTCAGAGTGGTTTGCATCTTAAAGGTACTTCACTTTATACAAATTCATGTGACTCCCACTACCACCTGCATTTCACATCTCTCTCTCTCTCTTTTTTTACAATACAGATAACATTTTAAACAATATGACCACAACCTCAAAAGCAGCTTAAACACACATACATGCAAGCAATGCTAACTATGCACTGAACAACTACTAGCCCAAACATTTTGCATCAACAATTTGTATACCTATCTAATATATTTGTAGCGGAATCCACAAAAGGTCAGTGAAATTGAAATCATCATCCCTGTTGTATGCACATTTACTTTATAGGAAGTTCCATTGCAATCAGTATGATTTACCTTTTAAACAAGTATGTTGAGGATATTTCATTTACTGCATGGAGCTGTAAATCTTGTTCCAGTACTATACTAATGTACATGGATTATGTGCATCTATGGCAATTATGGCAGACTAGGATCATTCTGTCCCACTTGCGATACACAAGTTGCCTTGTTATCTATGGTGTTTTGCATAGCAGCACTTAAAACCAGTGCATAACATTCTGCTCCAAAGTTTAACTGTCACCTGAGAGTTACTCTAGATATTGAATACTGAGTTGTGACAGAAGCACCATATGGCTTTTTCTTCTTCTTCATTTTACTTGAGTCCACTTTATAGTTAGCCTGTTGGTATTTAAGACAATTTATTTGCGCTTAAAGGCGAACTGAGAAATCCAAGTCTTTCCACTCAAATAGATGGTGAATTATGTTGTTGACAATCTTGATTTCATGCAGTTCACTGTTTGGGAAATGGGTGTGTGTCTTTTTATTTTCTTATGTGCCAAGGATGAAGTATAAATTCAATGTTCCTTACTTCTCACCAAGACCACTTTAGAATCATTCTTATAGAACTTTATAATCCCTTGAAAAAGAAGCTTGTCAGCCTACTAATAGTATGTTTTACAGTGATAAAAGGCAACTTCAAGTTTCAATCTTGGATGAAACCCTGCTACCCCTGTTTTGTGAGGCACAATGTTGAGTTAAAAATACAAACTGAGAATTATAAACAATGGTTTAGAATGTAAGAAAATGGTTAGAAGTCTAAACAAGGAAGGGGTAGAGTTAAAATACACATGTGTGGATGGATTGCATTTCTTGCAGAGCACCTGCTTCTATTCCAAAATCAAATTTCTTCTTCAGATACCAGAACTGAGGTTTGCCTTTTAGCTTTTTGAAAGCAGCTATTTTAATGACTTTTTAAATTATTCTAGTGACTAGTAGAATCTAGCCATTCAGAACTTCCTCGAACGAGAAAGTTAGTGATATAAAATTCCTGCCGGCTAATTTCTGCTCAAAACACAAGGAGAATAATGGAACTTCCTTACTTGCAGAAATGCACTGGAACATGAAAAGAACAGCCACAAAGATTTATGCCAATTTGTGGATAGTATAACAAAAGACCCTTTTTATTTGCTTCTGCCGCTGTAAGGGAATAATTAGTATCACACTGGAGTGTCTCCATGAATGAAGTTAGTAGAGTTGGTTAGTTTTTCATAATTTCTGTTGCTGTACCGTACAGGATGTCATGTTCTGAGATGCTGGAAAATAACAATCGAGCACATGAGGGGGCGAATAAAATCACAACTTCACCATAACTTCATTCCTACATTGCAGGGGGTTGGACTAGATGACCATTGGGTTCCTTCCAGCGCTATGATTCGATAAAGTGTTTAGCTTAAGCCTTAGTCCGCACTCTCCATCAAAATGAAGTCTAAATCTGCATTCAGTCACATCCATCTCTCTTGCTTTTCTCTCACCACCTCTTTTTGTGTTGCTTGTTAACATTGCTTGCATTCTCTCTTCCTCCTTTGTGATCCTCCAGTGTTTGAAACTTAGACTGTAAGCTACTTGACACAGGAACTGCTTGTTTTTATGTTACTCTGGAAATTGCCATACAAATTGATGGCACAATATAAAACAATAACAAGTAACCACAACCTTTTAAAAGTATTTTAAGGTTTGAAGCACCAAATTCTTTCAAAAGAAACCCTCCCCCCATCATGTCCCTAAACACTGTCACTCTCAGCACATAATAAATCTTTATTTTTTTTAAAAAAGAACAGTGTGGTTTCTCAACTCTTAAGAGGGGAGCACAAACACCATGTGCTCTGCAAGCATCTTTCTGCAAAGAACCTCCTTTCTGCCTTGGAGCACAATATGGTTTGATTTCTGTAGTTTAATCTATGCCAGGGGTTGCCAGTCCTCCAGGACCAGGGGGCACATTTTGAGGTGCTGTGGGCACCACTCACAAGATGTATGCTATGGGGGTTGTTGCATAACATGAAATGGCTGTGGTGATACGTGTGGCACATAACACAAAATGTTTGGGTGACGTGTAACAAAAAATGCCTGCTGTGACATCATTGCAAGGCATAATGGATGCCACATATGAAAGAGAAGAAATGGAGATAGGAGTACAGAATAGTGTGGGCATGCTCTCCTCACCAGCTGCCTCATCAGTGGGGGGGAAAGCACCTATATCAGTCATGTGCTTCCTGTTCTGGCATCCAGTGAAACATGGGCATGTTTAGGGGGACGTATTCAATGGAGAGGTTGATCCAGTGTAAACAGGAAATGAGCAGGAAGAGCAAACAATCTGCTGTGCATTGTGGTTTTTGAGGGGATACCCTCCAAAGTACAGAGGGTACTGGCAAGCACACTGTTGTCTATGGCAGTGTTTCCCAACCGGTGTTCCGCGGCACACCAGTGTGCCGTGAGACCTTGCCTGGTGTGCCGTGGGAGGGAGGCGGGAGAGGCGGGGCGGCGGCGGCATCTCCTGCTGGATGCAAATCCAAACATGGCGGGCGCCTCCCTCGCTCCTTTGTAGGCGGACCATCGAGAGAGAAAGAAAAGGAGGCGAAAGAGCGAGAGAAGGCGCCTGCGCGGAAAGAGGAGCGAGCAGTGCGCCTGCGCGCGGCGGCGCCCGAGATCGCTTCTCCCCACCGCCCCTTGCTTCAAAAGAGGTCCGGGGACAGCGGGAAGCGCTTCGCGCTGCCCCCGGACCTCTTTTGAAGTAAGGGGCTGTGGGGAGATCGCTTCTCCCGGTGCTCCGAAGCGGGGCGGGGGGGCGGGAACCTGGAGCGCGGGGCGCCCTTTGGAGGACGCCCCGTGCTTCGCGCAGCTGTCCGCAAGCCTTGGGCGCCTGGGGGAACTCCCTCCCCGGCGCGCAAGGCTTGCGGGCGGCAGCCTGCAGCGCGGAGCGCGGGGCGCCCTTTGGAAGACGCCCCGTGCTTCGCGCAGCTGTCCGCAAGCCTTGGGCGCCTGGGGGAACTCCCCCCCCGGCGCGCAAGGCTTGCGGCGGCAGCCTGCAGCGCGGGGCGTCCTTCGGAGGACGCCCCGTTCTTCGCGCAGCTGTCCGCAAGCCTTGCGCGCCCAGGGGAACTCCCCCCCGCGTGCACGGCTTGCGGGCGGCAGCCAGCAGCGCGGAGCACGGGGCGCCCTCCGTAGGAGGCTGCGGAGGGTGGCGCGGAGCTGCCCGTGCTCCAGGGCTTCTTGCAGCTCCGCGCCACCCCCGGATCCCGGTGCGAAGCCGCGCGGGGCTGCGGAGGGTGGCACGGAGCTGCCTGCGCTCCAGGGCTTCTTGCAGCTCCGCGCCACCCCCCGGATCCCGGCGCGAAGCCGCGCGGGGCTGCGGAGGGTGGTGCGAAGCTGCCTGCGCTCCAGGGCTTCTTGCAGCTCCGCGCCACCCCCCGGATCCCAGCGCGAAGCCGCACGGGGCTCTGGAGGGTAGCGCAGAGCTGCCTGCATCCCGAAGCCTGGTGCGCGCTGAAGAGCGCCCCCGGGCTTCACGCACCTCTCCGCAAGCCTGGGGAGACCAGTGTGGCTCCCTAGGCTTGCGGATATCAGGCTGTTCTGGGGGCTGGGGTCGGGGGAAGCTTGGGCTTCCCCCGCGCCTGCCCCGTGCCTGGGGAGGGGAAAAATTTTTTTTCCTTTATTCTCCCCCCAAAAAATTAGGTGCGTCTTATGGGGCGGTGCGTCCTATGGGGCGAAAAATATGGTAGTCAATATAGGCACAGAGTTAAATTTTTTAACATTTTCTAATGGTGGTGTGCCTTGAGATTTTTTTCATGAAACAAGTGTGCCTTTGCCCAAAAAAGGTTGGGAAACACTGGTCTATGGGTGCCATGTTGGCAACTTGTGATCTATGTGGTTGGGAAAGGATTGAACTAGATGACAATTGATTGTCTTGATTACCTTACAACTCTGGTTCTATAGAATCTAATGTACTGAAACTCTGACTTTATTATACAGCAGGAGTTTGATGAAATAGCAATGCGCTGAGTTTTTGTTTTAATTTTAGTAGACCACTGGTTTCCAAGGGATAAACAAAACGATGAGTTTGGTCATGTCTCTAAGGTTTGAACTCATAATTCAATAAAAGGAAACCAATAAATTAACCCGGGCAAAGCTACAACAGAAACTGTAAGCACAGGTAATTCTGTGTCAGCACATAGTCAAACATACATTGGTTTTTTCCACTGTGTCAAAGCAAAGAAACACACCAGCTTTGTAGGCCAATGTTAAATTCCCTCCCTCCCTGCTGCTGCAAAAAACTCAGTTCCAAGACCCCATGGCCCTGCCTCCCTTAAGAATAGCAACGCAGACACCTAGGGTAGATGTGTGTCCTACTTTACAGTAAATAGTTATCTATTGTAAGGAGTCCTCTATTTGAAGGGCTGTCCAGTCCATACCTAGTTTAAACATAAAGAACCGTAAGAAGGGAGAGCAGAGATTCTGAAGATTAACAATTAGCACCTGACCAGGCAGACGGGGCATATACACAAATTACCTGGTCACAGCTTTGCCCGCTATGGTGACATTTATTGTATTTCTATTTAGATTAGTAATTATTTCTGAATTATCATTTATACATACATAAATTTTAGGCAAATCTGTGTTCTCTTTTTGTGAGTGTACCAATGGTCTCTGTGTGTATCAATGGTCCTTTTTCTCCCCTCATGGCTCCTCATTCACCTGGAACTTTAGGATCAGCTGCATATCCTGACCACCTTCCATACATTTAGGTGACCCTGCTCTTGAGGGGGAGGTGGTATTCCTTCTGAAAGAACAGTGGCTTTCAAACTGTATTCTGAAGGATGCTGGGGCTTCTTTGAAGTTTACCAGAGGTTTGTAGTGATGGGCAAGATTCCCTGAAAGATGGGGGGGGGTTAAATGTTTGGATGCAGCCATGTAATCTGTTACGCTACTTACATGACCTCATCAGTTTTGTCATTCACACGTGTTGCCTAGGGGAGATTGGATTTTAAATTGCATGATGGAGTCACAAGCAAAAATTATCTTTGTGACCTCATTCAAAAAGACATTTGAGCATGGAATAAGGTTGCTATAAAGTTGGCAAGGAGATCGGTGCTGTTTCAGAATAAATTGCATGTACTTAGTTGTCGTCTAGGGTTATTAGCAGAATTTGCGATGTGGCTGCCTGCCCTGAATTTGGCTGAGGAATCTGCCTTCATTACAACCCTTTTTCAAGACATGCTCATATTGCTGTAATTAGGAGACTGGCTGCACAGATGCGCCTGCTTTTCAACAGTACATTTATACAGGATTCTTCCTTATGCCTGATGGGACCTCAACAGCACAAGTACCTGCTAAGAAATATGCGCAGGGAGCATCTTGCTTGGCCTTTAGCACTGGGAAGGTGGTGGTTTCTGCCCAAAGTGCAGAAGAATGGGAACACGCTTCAGGTGAACACGCTTAAACTATAGGGATTTTTGAGAGCAAATTTGGTATTTACAGTAGCTAAAACAAAACAAAAAAGTTGCAGAGACAATAAATGGGTAAAAATCAAAACATAACTTTAGCATTGCTTATAACGGATTTGGTGAATCTTAGCTCATTAAAAAAATTCAGAGATAAATTGTAACTTCCATTCTGAACAGCAGAGAGGTGGAGAACTGATGCAAGGACATGTCTGCACCATTTTGTAGTTATTTTTTTCTGGTCTTTTATATGTGGGTGCCATTTTATGTTAATTCTACACTCCAACACCAGCCATTTTGTGACTGCCTTCACAGCACTTCCTCAAAATTTCCAGTGTGCCCATTGGGTATCCAAAGTTGGTGACCCTGTAATACAGGTTAATACAGTGCTTTTTTCTGGGGGTAGGCAGGAGTATGCATACCCCTAAACATTCTGTGAATCTAACGGGAGAAGAAACTATTTTTTTTTAAAAAAAAAAATAGTTTCTTCTCTAGCACAGTGAATCGTCAGTTTTGTTGCTACCCGGCCTCATTTCCTTTCGTGGTGTTTCCTGAGTCTCAGACGGAAGCGAGCGTTTAATGTGTGAAGTAGGAGTTGGAATCTAGCACGGTGATTGGTCAGTTTCATTGTTACCACCTTCGATGGCAGCTTCATTTCCTTTCCCAGTGATTTTCTTGAGTCAAAATGGAAGTACCCCTAAACATTTTATTTTTATTTTTTAGAAAAAAAGCACTGGGTTAATATATTGGATATATCCACTAAGTTTAGTTATGAAATATCAAATTAATTTTCTCTCTCTTTTCTAACCAGATTAAGAAGAAACAGCAAGAGGTGGTGGGCTTTTTAGAGGCCAACAAGATTGACTTTAAGGAATTGGACATAGCCTGTGATGAAGACAACCGGAAGTGGATGAGAGAGAATGTTCCGGGTGAAAAGAAGCCACAAAATGGAATCCCCCTCCCTCCACAAATATTCAATGAGGAACAGTATTGTGGGGTAAGAAGTATAAAGGCGTAATACGTTTAGGGATTTAAAGAAAATGTACAAATTTGCTTCATGAAGTTTGCAAAACATTTTCTTGGTCCTCTGTTTGTGTTAATTTTATGCCTGCTTTTGTGAACTGCTTCCACAAGATGGTTCTGGGTTCGGGTTTAAGTTATAGCATAGGCATCACAGAGGTCCTTGCTGTGTCCCGGAAGAGCTTGGTGGACAGAAAACTACCCCTGGCTGTAAGCTTAGGATCCTGAAATAGGGTGGGATCAGATTGGGTTGGAACTGGTGAAGGATCCATTGGATCCAAAGGTGACCCATTCCCCTGAGAGGGGCAGACCTCCCCTGCCCCCACATTGCTTCCAGAGGGTGTGTGTGTTAAAAATAGGTAGCTGCTCCAAGTTGTTCCCTCACCCCCGCCATTCACCCCACTTACGATTGCTGTGCAAAGGAACTGTTCTGGGAGGAACACTGGAAAGAACTGGTTTCTGCATTTTCTGGCTATTAAACACTAAGAGAATGAACCTTCTATGCACACACAGAATGGGAGCATGCATAATGTTCTCAGTCCTTTTACCATCATTGTGATCCCTGTGCTGGGAGAGGTTGTTGTGGGGGGGTCAGGAAGGGTGACATTGATATGCTAAACACACCCCTTTTCATCTAATTCCAGGGGAGTAGAGGGATGAATTCATACTGAAGGTAGGATGGATTGCAGTAGGGAATGTGCCATCAGATCTCAATAGCAAATCCATGTGTAAGGGTTTGGAAGCAGTACCTGTGTTCAGGCCTCCTAAAATAAACAAACCAAATTTTAGAGTTTCCAGAAATAAATTCATTTTTTAAGTACAGTACAGCTGGTGGATTCCATAAGCATTTTTACTTTCCATCAAATATTTCCAGGCTATAGGAAAAACAATGCTGATGGGCCCCTCCCCCTTGTTTGGCATTACTCCAATTTGTATCCCTCAAACTTTCAGTGGAAATAAATAAATATGTGCAGTAGTTCAACACATGGATCTGATTATTTTATGCATCCACTCCTTCAGAAATGTCTTGCACCGTGGTTGTAGCAACCAGGAATGACAGTTTAAAGCTGCCTCCATAGTAGCTGTTTGTGTGGCTTGCCCCTGAAGGAGCTTCACATTAGGTAGGAGAACATTTCAAAACAGCAACAGCTTTCTCGACTAACCTCTTCTTTATGCACATCCTGTAGCAAGAACAAGTATTCAAATGGATGGGATACAAACAGCTGAAGCCAAGTATGAAAAATGTAATCATAAATGGAAGAGATGTTCTGACATATGATTGAGTTCTTAGAATTAGGGTCGGAGCTATGATAAATGTCAAAGAGAGTGGGGTGCAACTGATCCTTTCAGGAATAGTCCAGGTCCTGAATCTGAAAGTAAAATTTTACTGTGTTTTATAACATGTACAACATACTTTAGCTCTTTCACACACACAGCTATAAGGATATCAGAGCTGGCCAAAGACATTTTTTAACCCAAGGCATAAATCAGTATAAAACCTGGTCCCTATTCCATGCACAGAAACCAACCACACAATATGTACAGCATGTGCCGCCATTGGCTCTGCTCACTGGGGTTGATGGGAGTTGTAGTTGAGCAACATCTGGAGGGCCAAAGGTTCCCCACCTTTGCTCTACTGCTTCTGAGGTGAGCAGGCTCAGTTAGGAGGTGCAAGGCAAACTGAGCGGTGCTCAAATCTTTGACCTCTCCCTACCCCTCTGCATTGTAATGGCCATCTCACCCTGCCTTGCCCTGGAGAAACTTCATGGAATTCACTTCCACAAGATGTGTTGTTTAGCCACCTGCTTAAGGGTGCTTCCACACAGGCATCTTCTCAGAAATTTGGCCTTTAAAAAAGCAACCATCAAGGAATGAACATATTTTAAAAACTAATGTGAGCCAATGAAAAAATAACCACTTTGAAAGATTCCCTTTTCCGCATACCTGTGGAATTAGAGTTCCATAGAGAACTGCATAGTAGAATATATGTTGCCAAAGAGCAGCTGCCATCGAACGTCTGCATAGACTCTAAATTAGTAATATACAATGTCTCTGACTCTGCACAAGGCTATTTTAGGCACCAAGCAGTTGACATACCAAAGTACACGTCTGAGGGCCTTTCCAGATGATTAGAAAGACCAGTTTATATTCTTAGTACAATATTTGCACTAGCCCCAATGCAGCACCAACGTAATGGCACCCCGTCCCCTTACGATGGGGAGAAGGTAGCCAAAAGGCACAGAGAGGATCTTCTTACAGTGGGCAGTGGCTTCTTTCAGGTTGGCTGCTCTTAAAAAGAAGTGGTGGAGATGTGTGCTACAGAAGAGGGCCAAAATGGACAAAAACGGATTACGAACTAGCAAGGAACTATTGCGAGTGGAGAGGGGAGCTTTTTTGCTATTTGCAACATAAGTTTTTTTTTTCTTTTTTAAAGAGTAATATAAGGGCGAGCAAAATGCAGCTCTCTGTATGTTGATGGACTACAGTTCCCATCGTCTCTGACTATTGGCTGGAGCTGATGAGAGTTGTAGTCCAACAACATCTGGAGGTCCACATGTTCCCTATTGCTAAACGATTGCTTCAATTCTTGAAGAGTCCAGCAGAGGGAGGGCTCAGCCTCTAAACAATTTTTAAAAATTAAAAATAAAATGGCCTGTATCTACCTACCTACCTACCTACCTACCTAAAGACAAGCAGTATCTCTGTCCTGCTGTTCTGGATGAATAGAATGGTCCCCTTCTTTCTTAATCTTTAAGCTGAAAACAGGTGGTTACATGGCAAGTCATCCTAATCACTTCATTTGCATGTCACCTTTCCAAAAACAAACAGAAATTTTGCTCAAAGCGGCTTACAAGAACAACAATATGTAAACAATACCAACAACTGCAAGAATAATTTTGTAATAAACAATAAAGCAGCAACATGTAACAAATGCCACAGCAAGTTAAAAACAACAACCTATCAGGATTACAAATGCATACATGTAACCAGGGAGTGGGGGGAAATTCACCTTGGTTCTAGATGTTCTAACCACTGCTGCTATGCCCACAACAAGTGAGTCTGCTCAAATGTCTGGGCCTTGGCTTCCTCAAAGAATCATTGCCCGATACCATCATCATTCAGACAGCAGCTTATCCCATAACGTTACTCACAGTCTCTCTCCTGAAGCAGCTTCTTATAAGGCATCCAAAAGCAGGTGAGGTAGCGGGAAACATCTCTCCCATGATGTTACTCACAGTCCTTCTCCTAGTACAGCTGCTTGGCTAATACCAAAACTGAACATGTAAGGATGTTTGAAGAACAATTTTGTTTTGCTTTTAAGTACGTGGCTAGGAAAATATGAAAGCATTCTCCTGGACAAAAGTTCACAATGTGAGCTTTAGAATTAAACAGATCCCTTTCCTCATAGGAAGAGCCTTGCTGAGTCAGACTAAAGGCCTTTTTAGTTCAGCATCGCATTTCCCCAATGACCAACCTGATGCATCTTCTGAAGCCACCAAGCCACATAAGAGGACAGTAGCCCTTTTCCATCATCATTTCCCAGCAAGTGGCATTTGACAGGAGTGTGCACTGCCTTGATGCATATCCCAAATAACAAGGCAAATCAGGGTGATTTGCGATAGTCTTTCACGTTACCAAGTTGCATCACGCTGTTAACAAGGCATGTTGAAGCAGATCAGGGAGCACCCAACTTTCCAAGCAACTTTCCAAGTAACCAAGTTGCCTGGGGAAATACCCAGGACTTAAGGGGCAGGGGGAGAAGCGTTAGAGGAGAGGGAAAGGGGTGGAGCGGTGTTTGTGATATTTCATTTTGGCAAACAGTTGTAGCTTTTTATCATGGTTCACACATGCATGTACATTGCTTGCATGTCTGCTCAAAAGTAAGGTAAAGGTAAAGGTACCCCTGCCCGTACGGGCCAGTCTTGACAGACTCTAGGGTTGTGCGCCCATCTCACTCAAGAGGCCGGGGGCCAGCGCTGTCCAGAGACACTTCCGGGTCACGTGACCAGCATGACATCGCTGCTCTGGCGAGCCAGAGCCGCACGCAGAAACGCCGTTTACCTTCCTGCTAGTAAGCGGTCCCTATTTATCTACTTGCACCCGGGGGTGCTTTCGAACTGCTAGGTTGGCAGGCGCTGGGACCGAACAACGGGAGCGCACCCCGCCACGGGGATTCGAACCGCCGACCTTTCGATCGGCAAGCCCTAGGCGCTGAGGCTTTTACTCACAGCGCCACCCGCGTCCCTCTGCTCAAAAGTAATACCCATTAATTTCAAAAAGGTTCACTTCCAGCCAGGTGAGTCTGCTTGGATAATCACACTTTGGAAGGGGAAAAAACAGCAGCCATTAAAGCCTGTGTCTTTCATTGTTTTTATCCATGCCAAGAAAATGGTTTAATTTGAACTGTGTCCTGATTTGAATTTCATAACTCAGTCATGGAAATAACCTTTTTGAGCATTAGCAGAGTATCTTTCTCTAATGTCTAGCTGACTGTCAAAACAGCAATACTTAGCATTTACAGAAGGACTGTGGCCTTATGTATAGCACTAATTTTGCTTCCTATTTTCAGTGTTTTAAATAGGTTTGCAGAATCTAGTACTTATGAACATGTTTCTTATCACTTTTTTATGTTTGTGTGTTTCTATTTCCTTTTTAGGATTTTGACTCATTTTTCTGTGCAAAAGAAGAAAATATTATTTATTCATTCCTAGGTCTTGCACCTCCACCAGGCTCATCGGTACGTTTATAACCTTTGCCAAGACTTATTCATCTTAATTTAGTGATGAATTAGACACTGATGCAGCATGTAAAACAATGTAGATTGCTATGCAATTTTTAAAAATTGTCTTTGCACGAGACTAAAAAGCTTTTAAGGACTAATTGATGCAGATCTTGCAATAAAAAATTGCTATGAATTTGTCAAAAGCCACCCATTTGCACTAATTTATAATGAGTACATCCTGCTTTTTAACACTGCGTTCAGTGGGATATGGATTGCACCCAACTGAATATGGCAGCAAGCAATTATAGTTGAATGAATGCCCCTTTCATTTTAGCAGAGCAGGTTCTGAATAACTGTGCTTAGAACTTCTTAAGATTCTGAAATGTTGCTAGTTTAAAACAATAATGACTTTAATAGGAAACTTCATTAGAGGTTCTGGGTTTTTACTCCACACAGAACAATAATACAGAAATACCAGAAATTTCCATTTAAGAGAAGCTATATGACCTGGTCCATCTATTCCTTGACTTTGCTTTTAAGTCAGATTCTCACTACTAGGCTGTCTCCATGTGGCATGATTTTCTATTATCACCCAAATTGTTAGGATTTTGGTCACTTAAACTTGATTAACCAGCTCTTCATATCATCACAGTTCATGGTGCAAGTTCTGTGGAGCCCCCTGTATCTTTCTGCAAAAGAAAGTTCATTGTGCAAAACAACCAAATCCTTGGTTCACATAGGCATGCACAGCCCATGACTCTCCATTTCTTAGACTCTCAGCACTGGGCATGTGATCTGTTCTGTCCCAAAGGCAGCATTACTCTACAACGTTAGTCAACATTAAAACTGCTTCTGCATGAGGAACTCCAGTGCTTTTCTGAACACACTGCTGCTCATTCCGATTGGCAGTGCCTCTCTAGGATTTCAGACAGGAGCTTTCCCCCAGTGCAGTGTGCATATGTGGGGTGTTGAACATAGGGCCACCTGCATACAAAGTATGAACTCAGTCACTGAGCTACAGCAACAAAATACTTGGACCTCAGGATCTTTAGCACATGGGCTACTTCCAGCTGAAGCAGAAGCCAAGCCATGTATAGGACAAGCAGGCAGCAGAATGTTGAAAGTAAGATGTCAAAGGTCAGGATGGGGGATAATTTGAATTCATTTCACATCTAAAGGCAAACCTACCTAATTCACACTTTTTGAAACAATATGAGAACTGCAACACAGCTAGCCTTCAACATTCACACTTTCCCGAATTTTGCAATGCCATTCTCCAAGTAATGTTTACAAAAATATAACCTGGGGTAAAGTAGCCATAAAAAATGCATATATTAATGAAAATAACATACACAAATGCACTTTTTTAGGGGAAATCACACTGAAAACTGCACAGAAATGTGTATATTTGGGAGAAATTCCCACAAAAATGCTTATACGTTTTAAGGAGATGTGCAAGGACTCCAGATCTTTTTCCAGATCAATGCCCTTTGTGGAATTGAAACCTGTATGTAAGCTATATTATGATGTGCATGAATGGAGCAAAGACCTTGAAAAAATTACTATGTAAACAAATCTTTCCAAAGCCAAACTGACTCCCCGTAGTTTCTTAAAGCATGGCATACTTTAAAGGGAGAATGACAAAACATGTTGTAGGATGTACAGAGGGAAAGGAGACTAGAAAAAGAAGTTGTAAGAGCTCCTGGTGACTGCCTGAGAAGTAATCTGACATGTCGCCAAGCTGGTGTACTAAGTTAGAGGAAGATTCCCCCCCCCCTTAATACAAATATGTAATTTGACACTAGAGTGGCCTTGTGGGGCAGCTGGCTGTGCTGAAAGGATGGAGTGACATCTCTGTTGTCAAGATTCTTGATTTTGGTCTATTAATGCACAGCAATGCACCTTCAATTTGTCCACGTCGTAATACACAATGAGATAAGTTGTTAAAAAAACATACTATGAAAGTTTTGGAGACCTATTTAAAGTGATAAGAGCAGTAGCCACAGAAGAGGCAGCCACTCAGAATGTTATAACATTAAAGTACAGTGGAAGCTTGGTTCTCAAACAGCTTAGCTGATGAACAAATTGGCTCCTGAACACCGCAAACCCAGAAGTGTTCTAGTTTTCTAACATTTTTTGGAAGCTGAATGTCCGACGCAGCTTCTGCTTGAGTGCAGGAAGCTCCTGCAGCCAATCGGAAGCCATACCTTGGTTTTCAAACATTTCAGAAGTCGAATGAACTCCCGGAATGGATTATGTTCAAGAACCAAGGTACCACTGTATCTTATTGATTGTTATTATTACAGAGGTACCTCGGGTTACATACGCTTCAGGTTACATACGCTTCAGGATATAGACTCCGCTAACCCAGAAATAATACCTTGGGTTAAGAACTTTGCTTCAGGATGAGAACAGAAATCATGCTCCGGCGGCACGGCAGCAGCAGGAGGCCCCATTAGCTAAAGTGGTGCTTCAGGTTAAGAACAGTTTCAGGTTAAGAACGGACCTCCGGAACGAATTAAGTACTTAACCCGAGGTACCACTGCACTTGCTTATAATCAGCTTTATGATTATTATTTTTAAGAAAGATATATTCATTATGGTAGAAAATAACAGCATATGGAAGCATATTTTTGTATATTGTTACACACACACCAATCTCCAAGCAGCAAGAGATCTCAGTGTGTACTTTGCATATGACTTCCTTGGAGCAAAGGTCAGTAGAGGCCAGCAGGGGTACATGAGGGGAGAAGCAGACTGGCTCTGCCACCTACCAGGACAGGGATATGGTGAGGTGCTGATGAGGTCAGGGGGTTTCTTGTCGCCTGCAGGTGTGTGAAGCCACCAACCTAGAGCTCCTCTTGCCTTGCCCCCCTGCTGGTGGACACGATGGTGCTGTTGTTGCTCCCTTGTCATGTGCCGCTGTTGCTAGAGGCTCGTGGTGTCTTTGTGATAAATGGCTTTGTTTACAACCAATAGTTAACAGACTTGGCCAAAGTCATTAAATTATTGAACCACTTTAGAAGCCAGCTTTTTCTGCAGAATCCCACTTAAGAGGTATGAAATTATGGGCTGGGAGGGGACCCTAAAGATTATGCCTACACTAACCCCCCCTCCCAAACAACTTACTTGTTTTGTTTGCTTCTACTTTTCTGCTCAGGAAATGACACAGTACTGAAAAATACTTGCATGCCAATGCAGAAATCTTTGCTTTGGGTTGTATCCATACACCAAGTTCTACTCAGGGTAAACCCAATGAAATGAATGTAGCTAAGTTAGTTATGTTGCTTAATTTCACTGAGTCTACTCTGGGTATGACTAGCTTTGGATACAACCCTTTGATTTGATTATACTGAATGAATTAGAAAACAGAGTACTTTGCCAGTTTATGATCATACTCTGTTCTTCTAATATGGAACTGAAAGAAATGAGCAATCATTTCACCTTAGTGAAAGCTATCTTCTCAATAAATATTCTTTATTAAAATAATTTAGGCATAGATCTTTGCTCTTAACCACTGCTGCCTACCTTTGATGCTTTTCAGTGTTGATGGAATTGAAAACATCCTATTATGTTTTTATATGACTTTTCAAGAAACAAAAAGAAACAGAATTTAAACATGCAAGTGTGCGTATAAATGCACATTACATGGTTTGTTTATTTACTTATATTTAGACAATTTATATACCATGTATTTGGAATGGGGCAGAATCTCTAAACAGTTTAAAACAGCTTCATCAATAACGATCAAATACAGAAAATACTAGGGGTGAAATATCACAGTATAAAACACCACAACTGACAACGGTACAGGGCATCCTTTTAAGTATCAGAATAAAATATTACACATGACAATCAACTACAGAATTACAATGAAAATTACACTTTCAAAACATAATTAACAAAATATAATCTAAGCAGTAGAATAAAATTACAAAACAAAATCCAAATATTATTTCCTCAGTTTTTAAACACACAATTGTCAGCTAAGGAAAAGAGGGGGAAATTCACTTTTCCCACCCTACAACATTCCCAGTCACTCATACAATGAAAAAGAAACAAATATAGTTATATTCTCAGCCCACTATGTAATCATCAACACCATTAACCGTCTATCGGCAGCTAAAATACTTTCCACTCAGGTCTACTCAAACACACTGTTACCTAGTGAACACACGAAAATCAAATATGCAAGCTCGATAAACCAGTAAACCACTCTGCAGCCTCTCCCATGTCAGTCTCAGTTCCTCAATCAACAACTCACGTGTCTACGCCACGAGACCCAGACAAACCTAGACAGATACTGACCTTCAAAGTAAGCAACAATACATAAGCTCTAAGTGAAACATTCAAACCCAGTACTTGCCCTCTCCACTTCTGAATATTGTTTGAATTCTTTATCACAGGAGGGAAGGATTACCGAGGAGATACCGACTGTGCCAAATGGTGAAGTTTCAGGAGAAGAGCAGAAAACTGAAGAAGTAATGCGTTTTTTTTTAATAAAAAAAATATCTCTGTATAACAACAATCACTTAACTGCTTTTTTGGAAGCCATGTTGCCATCTCCCAGAAACTCTGTGTGAGTGCCAACAGTTCCCCAGCATGATTCAGATTGCCTGGCTGGCCACCACATCAGCCTTTGCCAACTCAGTGCCCTGCAGGTGTTGTTGGACTACAGCTCCCATCATCCTTGACCCTTGGCCATCTTGGAGTCCAACAACATCTGGATGGCTGCAGCATCCCCATCCCTAATACGGAAGGAACAGCATGACCTATGAGAGCTAAACGTTTTGAACTTGCCGCAACATTTCTGCTTAAAAAACGCAGGAAAATAGCTTGACTTTTACAAGAGAAAGCTAACAACCATCCAGTGAGCACAATTACATGAGATTTGCCAAATGCATTTCAGAGGTGAAGAATGAATCTGGAGTAGCAGTATGTGAATTTTCCATCAGCAGGATTTCTGCATGTGCAACAGAATATTCCCCCTCCTGCCCCTGCACACCCCTTAAATCGGGGGGTTCTCCCAAACTTCTGAAGCAGATTTGGGGAGGGTGTACATGAAGGGAGCAGTGGGGGAAATCTAACTGCAGGACTAGAAATCCTTGCACTGGCAGGACATGTTGGTTGAATACCACCCTAGATTTCATTGGTTTAAATTGATTTTCTCTTCTGCGATGTTACTTGTGTTTTTCTTTTTTGCTCCGTTGCCAGGAGATTGAAAAGACAGAGGGAACTGAGGAGAATGAGGCAAATGCAGAAGAGGATGCAGAAGCTGATACTGCTGAAGTGCCAACAGAAGAGCAGGTCATTTCCTATTCTTTTCCCCCCTGCTTGCCATTTTTGTTCAAAGCGTCCTTCACATCTCTGATATCCAGGCTCTGAGTGCCATCCATTGCTTTTGCAGTCAAAGCAGCACTACCAACATGTGAGAGGGAGGCATTGGCAAGCTTATGGGGTGAGCTCTGAGATTTGCAAAAGTTTTCCTAAAATCATGAGGGGAAGAACAGCCCAATGCTCAGTAGCCAGGGACCATTGACTCACTCCTGGGGGTGAGGGCAGAATAGAAAACATTAGTGGGGAGGGAGTAATGGAATGGAGTGGTAGGAATCCTGAAGAGGAAACACTTCACACTAGAACATTTTGTTGCAGGTTACACTTGTACACTAATAAATTTTGCATAAGGATTGCATTCATTCGGGTGGCTGTGAGGACCAACAGCTGGAGGGCGACAGGTTCCCCAGCAGGGCATCGGCGGCATTCTCCTGCTGCTTAACCATCCACAGCTGCTTGTCTGCTGAGTAACAATCGGCTTCCCCTCACAGAAACATTTATAGTCAGGCACCGGCAGCTGATTCCGAAGTGTCGCTTTCAGTGTATCTGCCCGCATGCTTGGAGAGGAATGAAAACCATGAGCAGCAGCTGCTACCTCATTAGAGAAATAAGACAACATGGAGATGACTCTGAATTCCACTGCAATAGAAATGCAGCAAACATGTAATTTCTGCGAGTGAAAAGGATGATTCTGCATATTAACAGACTTGTAAAAGAACTCTTTTTGATGGTTTGACCCTGCAGGGGCCATGGAATGGATAAATGCAGAGTCAAAATGATGCACATGTATGCAGAAGGAGGGATCTCGGGGGGGGGGTGTCAGTATTCTGAATTGCACCTGTCTTCTTTGAATGGCTGTCACAGATGTTCTGCATCCTTTGCCAGCAACAAAATCCCAAAGTCCCAGACAGGTGCTATTTTCTGGATGTAAAGTTATTCACTGTGCAGGTCAGATCTTAAAGGTTTCTTAAACATCTATCCTTTTCACAGCCGTTGGTGATTATTGATACAGACACCACTGAATATAAGTGTTTTCATTAAGACGTTACGCATTTATTATGTGGTGTTTTCATGCTGCCCAGACCTTCTTCTCATTGGTGGAAAAAGAATGCTGCAAGAGTTGGGCACTTCACTGTTTTGTGAGGGCCATCGAGAGAGGTGAAAAAAATCTGCTTTGCTGTCATTCCCCTGCCGTTCCTCTTCTAACTTTTATTTTGGGGCTGAACCAAAATGGGCTATTTTGGGGAGGCAAAATTGGGCAGGTAAGGGAGTTTTGCCAAATGTCCGGGGGGGGGGGGCTGAAATTCTCCAACACATTTCCCCCCCTCACAGAATTGACTTCTGGGAGATTTTTGGCTCACTCAATGTTGAATAAAATTATGTTGTTTGTTTATATTGTTGGGTGAAGAAAGGAGAATGGGAAGGAATAAGGACAAAGCCAATTTCTTCCTTCGTAATAGTGTTAAAATGACACTGAACAGTATATTAGCTTGATTTATAGTTGCACCCAAAATCCATGGAGAGTGAAATGGTCAAATATTTGCCAAGCATTTTCCAGGGGAGGACTGGAATTCCCCAACATATCAGGAGCAGCTGAAAAAAAAGTGCCAGAAGGTTATCTTCAGTTAATTTTTGATTTAGCCCTGCTTTGTGTGCTTAAGATAAAGGGGGGAAAGTAACATTATGCCTTGCAGCATTCTTTAGGGTGTAACCCAATGCATATTTATCTGAGAATAAACACAGTAGTATGACTTTCTTCTGAACAAACGTGTATAGACCCTCCTGTATAATAGATTCTAGTCTTTCTCAATAGTATTTTTTTGTCATTGGTTGCTGTCTGATCGTTTTTATTAGTCTGTTTTAAGGGATGGTTTTTCTCATTTGCAGGAAGAAGGCGAAGAACAGCCAGTGACAGAAGTACGCTCAAAAACTTCTTGTAGTCTGCACTTTGATTTGTCTGCTTGCTGACTAATGTGAAGCATTGCTTGACAACCCTCTTCCCCCAAGCTAAATCACAAAACCAAGTTATGACTGGCATCTAGCAAAGAATATTTATGTCTGGGCCTGTTTAACTTCTGGGACCAAGGAATTCATTCTAACCATTTTCTCAGAGCAAAATGGCATGCGCTTGAACTGATGTACCCAGGCAGCACCCGGTGCACCTATATAACTATGTGGACATTCATGCCTGCTCGCACACACCTGCACAGAGTCCACAGGGACATAGGTGTAGCTTTGTCAATCAGTCAGGTAGCAGGTAAAGGTAAAGGGACCCTAAATTGCTGTTTGGATAGCTCCAAACAGACAACCTGCTGGGCCTGAAGCTCAGTGGAGACCTTTTGTCCCTCTTGCACCAGACTTTCCTTAAAGGAACAGACCTCTGGCTTGGAGCTTCTCAGCCAACTCCTGCCTTGTGTGTTGTCTGTGTTTACTATTAAAACCAATTGAGGTTATTTCCTGGGGTTTTCGTTACAAATCTTAACCATTTTTTTGTGTGAAAATCAAATATTGTTTTATACCTAGGCAGTGCATCTGTATGCATCTTCTGCCTTTTTTACTTTCTGGATTCATTTTTTCCTCCTAGTACAAGTCCACTGCAGACTTACGGTAATGCTGCTGTTAAGATAAAATTGGCATTCTAGGGTTGGTGCAAGAGGATTGCTAACGACATTGTTAGGGGCACACTGCAAGTTTTGTGCTATAATGCAAGCAGCAGTGACCTACTTCTTCATCTTCTCTTCAAACCAAAATTGCTTCAGGAGGAAGGAATTTAGAGCAGAGAAATGGTGTGAGAAGAAGAAGGGCTTAAATTGGGGAGGGAGATGAGGGCATATATGCCCAGCCTTCCCACACGGAATATTGTTATATGTTGGTATTGGATGTACTCTTCATGGGACATAACCTTAGATTGGGCCACAAAAACTTCTTGTGAGTTTGGACACATAACTTGAATAACAATGTTTTGGTGCATCCTATTCTTATATCACTGTGGGGATGATGGAATTCTCTTGGTGGAAAAATGCAGAAGGTGCCGCACAATTTAATACTCTGCTCTTTCCTCATTATGGTCATTCTTATTTATATAACACCATCCATGCACACGAAGTTTTACAAAGAATGAGAGAATGCGTCCCTGTCCAAAATGGTTTACAAGCAAAAAAAAAACTGTGTAATAAAACAACAGAGGAAAGGGAAGAAAATGGAGGCAGGGTAAATTGGGTAAACTGGTTCCCTTTCAGTTGTGTGCTTCAGCAACACATTGAGCATGCAAGACACTCTGAAGTAGACAATGCCTCAGTGATATTTCATGCTAGGACTACCAGTGCACTATGGGGCAGAATCTACCGCAAATGCCCAAACATTAATCTATGCAAATGCTGTGGAAATGAATAGGAGCAACACAATAGCACAACTTGCCCTTTTCATTAATTTGCTAGGTGATGGAAGAACAAAGACATGTAGGCTAGATTATGTGTGGTGTGTAGATAATAGTCAAATACCGCCTTCTGAATAGGGAAAGTAGGTTCTAGAATAAGGTTATCATGCGTCCCCGTTTTCCGGGGGCAGTCCCCGGATTTACAAATCAGTCCCCTGACAAAATCCATCTATTTAGTTGAAAAGTGTCCCCGGATTCATTGAAAAATATCTGGTAACCTTACTCTGGAATAGCTTTTGCTATTGTTTCCTTCTAACAGATAGGAAAAATAAACCGTAGATCAGAATCTAACTTGAACAATATTATTCTGATTTGTAGCCACATACACCCACTAATATGTATACACTCTTTCTCTCTCACACACACACCCAAACACTAGAGAAAGAAGGCATAGACTACTGTTGAGTTTATTAGTTTGGCTGAATTATGCTTCTGCTCTTTGATCATTAATCATTAAATCTAATGTGGTTTGTCTGCATGCGTTAATGTAGTAAAGAATTCAACATTCAGCTGCATTAAGCTTTTATAAAAGCTTGTATTTCTATTTAGAAAAATGAAATGTGCTAGCAACACAGTATGGCTGCAAATGGAGTATGCACCCCACCTCCAAATTGAGCTTTTCCTTCTCAGAGAATTACACATGATTTATGTCAGAAAAATAGCCCACCTTTTATAGAAGGATCTGTGAGCAGGAGACTACGTTCTGCCCACGCACCTTTAAAATTGTAGCAGACTTTGCATTGCAGTATAAGGTGCTTTCTCCCATTTTCTGAGGGAGCAATATGGATGTCACATTTAATCCACTGTTTCAGTAGTTGCTTCTTTCCCTTCCCATATTTGAATGTTCTTTCCTTTATATAAATAAGGAAACAGAGGAAGCACAGGAGGAGGAAGAGGCAGAAGAGGAGGAAGAAGAAGCGGAGGAGGAGGAGGAAGAAGAAGAAGAATCTTAGTACAATTCTATTATGACTTTTTCCTTCAGAAGACTGTTCAGGTAATTTTGCTGACAGCTGCCTCATTTCAGCCTTTACCTGAAAATCCTGATAGTTTCAATCCCTGCCACCAAAACTTTAATTTGTCTCAAAGGGGGAATAGAGAATATTTTCCCTGCTTGTTTTAAGCAGACAACTGTAGGTGTACAGTCTGCTTACATGCCTTCATTTATTTTTCCAACACTGGGTGGGATTTATACAGCGTTAATGGGTGATAACCAGAGCATGAGCCAATTAATTTAATCCACTTTTGTTCCATCATTCCTAGTGGCAGAGAAACACGTATATTCCTCTCTTGTTGAAACTGATGGGGCTAAAAGTGTAAACAACTGGGTTATTTATCGGGATTGTTTCCATAGGTTTTTTTATCATTATTTTTTATTGTTTTTTCCATGTATACTTCTTCTAACAATATATCTTTAACAATTTTCATATTTCTACCCTTCTCCCCTGGACTTCCCTCATACTCCCATTTTGTTTTATTTCCATATTGTTCACCCTGTGTATTGTTTCCCCAAAATTTTCCCAATACATATAGTCTTATTTTTTGTTGTATACAGTTGTGATTGTTTACTCAAACCCTGCCAATGAGTCCATTTCTTTATGTTGTCTCTTCATATATGTTGTAAATGGTTCCCATTCTCTTTTATAGTCTTTGTTGTCCTTTTCATGTACCTTTTCTGTTAGTTTTGCCAGTTCTGCATATTCCATAAGTTTCCCTTGCCATTGTTCTTTTGTTGGTGTTTCTTCTGTCTTCCAAGTCTGTGCCAATATAATTATTGCCGCTGGTAGTGCATTCATCTTTATTGCTGCTATCCTTTCCATCAAGGAGAGAGTCATTCTATTCCGAATTTCCAAATCTTTCTTAATCTCATTCCAAACTTTCTCATAGTTGTCTTTATATAAATTTAAGTTTTTATTAGTAAGCCAGATTCCTAAATATTTGACTTTTTTGTGAATTTCTACTTTTATAATCTCCGGCAATTCCCTTTTCTCCAGTTCTGTCATATTTTTGTTAGTATTTTTGTGTTTCCTTTATTTAATTTAAATCCTGCCACTCGCCCAAACTCTTGTATTTTTTCTAAAGCCTTAGGGAGACATAGTTTTGGTTCCTCAACTGTGATTACCAAGTCATCTGCAAATGCTTTCAACTTAAATTCATTTCCCCCCGTTTTTATTCCCACAATCTGCTTGTCTGCTCTTATGTTTCTGTTCAAAACCTCCAGGACCAGAATGAATAATAAAGGTGATAACAGACATCCTTGTCTCGTTCCTTTTTCTATTTTGAATTGGTTCATTATCACCTGGTTAATAATTAGTTTTGCACTCTGTGCTGTATATACAGCTTGTATCCCTTTTATAATTTTTTCTCCATATTCCATTTCTTCCATCACTTTCTTTATAAAATACCAAGATATATTATCAAATGCTTTTTCTGCATCTATAAACATCATTGCTGCTTTTTTCTCATTTCTTACTTCTAAATACTCTATTACATTTAAGATGTTTCTTATATTATCTTTCATCTGCCTACCTGGAAGGAATCCCACTTGGTCTGGATGTATATAAATATTTAAGACCTTTTTCAATCTATTAGCTAAAATATTAGCAAATATCTTATAATCATTGTTCAATAATGAAATGGGTCTATAGTTTTTGACCAAGGTCAAATCTGTATCTTGTTTTGGAATCAAAGTAATATAAGCTTCCTTCCATGTTTCTGGAATTTCCCCATCTGTTAATAAAAGGTAAAGGTACCCCTGCCTGTAAGGGCCAGTCTTGACAGACTCTAGGGTTGTGCGCCCATCTCACTTAAGAGGCCGGGGGCCAGCGCTGTCCGGAGACACTTTCCGGGTCACGTGGCCAGCGTGACAAGCTGCATCTGGCGAGCCAGCGCAGCACACGGAAACGCCATTTACCTTCCCGCCAGTAAGCGGTCCCTATTTATCTACTTGCACCCGGGGGTGCTTTCGAACTGCTAGGTTGGCAGGCGCTGGGACCGAACGACGGGAGCGCACCCCACCGCGGGGATTCGAACCGCCGACCTTTTGATCGGCAAGCCCTAGGCGCTAAGGCTCTTACCCACAGCGCCACCCGCGTCTGTTAATACTTCATTCATTATGTCTTTCATTGGATTTACAAGCTGTTCTTTAAATTTTTTATAATACTTTGCTGATAATCCATCTGGTCCTGGTGATTTGTCCACCTTTATTTGATTTATTGCCTTGGGGATTTCTTGATCTGTTATTTGTGTATTTAAAAATATTATCTCTTCTTGTTTTATCTTTGACAGATGACTCTTTTTTATATATTCCTGTATGTTGATTGCCTTTTCATTTCCTCTTTTGTATAAATTCTGAAAAATTATTCATCTGTTGATTTCTCCTTAATTGCCATGCTAACAATTTTCCAGGTTTGTTTGCATGCTCAAAGAATTTCTGTTTCATTTTTTTAACTTTCCATGTTATTTCTTCATTGAAAACTGTGATTGTAATAATTTTACTGCCTGTTTTATTGATTATTTGGGTTTTTTCCTAATTCATTTTCTTTCTTTGCTATGGCATCCAAAATTTCTTTTTTCCTTGCTTCCCTGGCTTTTTTTTTTTTTACAGCATTTTGTTTCCATAGTTTTAAACAAGAGAGTTTTTGTAGAATTGTATGAATCAAGTTCGAGGGGCGTTTTGAGACAGAATGTACTTTTTAAAATCAGCAAAGAAGCTCCATATTCCTACTCTGATGAGAGCATTCCGCAACCGTTTACACTGAAGTAATCCATGGATCCCAATGACTTTCTGTCCTGCTTGTGATTGGACACTCAACATTAATCAATATACTCCTTCAACCTGCACCCAGTTCATGGATATACTGGAAGAGCTGCATTTTCATATAATTTTCTATTTATTTCTTGATTACATTTATATATTACCTTTTCTCACAACAACCCTGTGAGGTAGTTAAGGCTGAGAGATAGGGATGGGCCCGAGGTAACTCACTGAGGTTCATGATGGGGTGGTGATTTGAACCTGGGTCTCCCCAGTCCTAGTTCTTTGCAATCAATAAGACTTTATGTATGTGTCATATCAGTCTTAATTTTGTACATCAGTGTCATGGTTGAATCTCACATGGTTGCCACCCAGAATTGCAGCATCTTTGTTATCTTAATTTACACTTAAGCCCTGATGTGACCGAATTATTGTCAAGTCACCCAAAGACTTAATATAAATAAATGGAAGGTATACTTCCTCCTTGCAGTTACTTTTGTGCACTTAAGCACAATATATGCTGTGATTGGGTGTTTGTGGCGTGTGCATTTTTTTTATTGTGTTGCCAATCAAAACAGTCATTTGGCAGACTAATGCCATCTAGTGTTTTAAAATGAGGTTGTAAAAGCAAGCAGGTGGTCCAGCGAAGCACACTTTTGACACTGCCTGGCACACACGCCTGGAACATCAGGTTAATATTTTACAGAAATATTAAGTCAGCTCTCAAAAAAGAACTTAGTCAATGACAGGAAAGTCATTCCTGTAGTGTAAACATAATACGGTCTGCACTGCCTGTTGACTTCTTTTTATGATCAGATACCATTTTAAAATTAATTTCCAGCAGTGCTGTTAGATTAAGGTTACCAGACATCCCCGTTTCCCAGGGACAGTTCCCAGATTTATAGATCAGTCCCCTGACAAATTCTTACCATTCCGACTCATTTCAATTAAGTGTCCCCGGATTCATTGAAAAAAATCTGGTAACCTTATGTTAGATCGTCACTTGACCCATGACTAACAGGGTTTGTAGCTGGCAAACCAGCCATAGCTGGGTAAAAGGCACTCCTAGCCCCTGAGGCCACCTGAGCTTCCAGTTCCCCAGTGTTGGATCTAGGAGTACCACCAAGCTAGCAACCTTCTCCTTCCAGGGGACCACAGCCCCATCTAGAACAAGCCATCTCCCCACTTCCTGGACTTGATTGTTTGGAGCTGAGTTGGTCCTTTTGTACATAAAGCTGATGTTGGATGTATTGCATCAAATATATGTCGGGGACTGGCAGGACACTGATGAGTGAAGGGGGCTGGAGTCTGACTTGGGAGAGGAGGGCAGTGATTTGTGGGGAACTGTTCCAGCCAGGAGGCAAGAGGAAGCTTCAGAGCTGGAGGGTAGGGCACTGGAGGAAGAGGCAGGTCAGGCAAGTGAAAGGGCCGGGTGCTTCCCTGCCCTCTCCTGCACCACTGTCTCCCAGAACCAGGAGAGAATTGAAATGAGAAGAGCAGAGGCAGCTTCCAAGCAGGCATAGTCTCCGACTGCATGTGCACAGCCCATAGGAGGAAGATACATAAGCTGGTGGAAGGGGCATGCGCCCTTGTTGCTGCAACGGCTCTATAGAGTGCAGACTTGGGAATAGCTGCATAGACACTAGGTTGGTGTGCGTGCGGTGGAGGGAGCAGTATTCATAGCCATGGAAATGACTGTAAAGGTGTCAACTTTGAGAATAAAGAGCTAGCTAACTGCCGTGTGCATTCCTTTTGCTAGGGAGAACCCTTGGCAACATATTAAATTTTGGGGGTTTTTTGCCCCCACAGGAAACAGAAGCCCATGGCATCACTGCAGTGTGAAGATAAAAGCAATCACTTCCCCTCCACGAAAACACCATTGGCTTTACTCTCCAACTCCAGATATCGGCATAGATGTCACCTGAGAGATCAAGCAGCCCCGCAGGAAAATCTTTATATATTGTGTCAAATGGGTCTTCAGATCTTCAGAACTGGATGGCCAACAAACACTGTGGGTCTGACTTTAGGGTGTAGGTTTCTGTGGGCAGGGATGTTTCTCTTTCCATGTTTGTGCCCTGCCAGGCACATGCTGACAACGCTCAGAGGTGATGGCAAGGCTGAACGGAACTGGAACCTGCAAGGAAGCTCCACCTGTATGTACCATAATGACCTGCTTGTTTCTAAACTAGCCTTTGAAGTCGGTATTCTTTTTAATGTACAGCAACTGAAATAAAGCACATTTCATGTTGAATATCTGCTTATTCCCTACAGGCATTAATTTATCATAGTAAATAAGAAAACTCAAAGTTATGCTTGTAGCCTGCATGGTGCCTTCACTTCAGAAAAAGTTCTCTGTGACTGATTGCCTTCCTGAGTCTGTATTTTTGTGATAGCCCTGTACAGTATTAGATTATATTTTCATTATTTCATTGTTCATGGATGTAGAGAACTTTTCAACAGACTCTGAGGATATTTGCTTACTTATCTCCCCCCCCCCCTTTGTGCCACTGAAAAGCTATTTTCAGCTCTCCCTGTGACGTATATTTGGACAAGAACTGCAACTAATCGGTAGATGCAGGGCAATTTTTTAATGCTCTTGCAATTATTTTGAAAACTGCAGTAGGCTGCGAGAAACTTGCACTCCATTGGGAAATTCTTTGGTGGGGTGGGAACCCTAAGAAAATTAACAGGCGCCATCAAAAAGCTTGTTCTAGCATTATGGTAAGAGTGTATACAGAGCAAGCGTCAAAATACAGCATATGCTTTATTGCAGATTGATTTATGTTGGCAGCTACAGATGGGAACAGCAAGGAAATTAGGCAAGATGCATGAGACATTTGCATAGGATCTCCCAATTAAGAACAATTACAATTGCAGCAAGGAGCGATTGGATTGAGACCATGGGATTAAAAAAAGCACATTTCTTTTGTGCAGTTTTTCTGATTTCCCCCCTCTATCACTATTTGCCCTCCTGGGCAAAATGTGCAGATTCCCACATGCTGCCTGTATGCTTTGCCCAGTTATGTGGGATGGGGGTTTTAACTAGAAAAATAGGATGGGGGAAAGGGTTTGAAATACTTCCCAGTGTAGTGGCCCTGATCCAAATTGGGCCACTGCAACTGCTGCTAACACTTCAAAAACGTAGGCGTTCCTACTCATCACATATAGTTTGTCCTTGATTCTGGATTCTCCTGTTGAATTTCCAGGCGCCATTAGACCTTGGCAGTCGTCTCTAGCTTGGCCTAGATGATTATGATAGTTGGACACGTGGCTTATATTTGAGAATCGGGGGCAAAACCTGACAGCTCTCTAGCAAGGCAGTTTTCGTGCAGTTACAGCTGGCATGATATGTTTGTTTGTTTTCAAATACTAGTTATTGAAGTGCCAAAGCCTTGTTTAGGAACACTTATGCATTTAATAAAGACCACAATACAAACCTGGCTAATAGCTCAACCGCCCATTTACTCTAGGATAGTCTCACTGGAATCAAATGAGATTCCTTTACAGTAAGTGGATTGTGGCCAAAGGAAAGCTTTAATTCTTTCTGTAATGGTGAAGCATTTAGCACTTTCATTGAACAACCTATGGCAAAAGCATTGCATAATTTATCCTAGAGGTACTAGGATAGTCTTGGCTTACATTAGCTCTGCTTAACTCCTCCGAATAAACATTTTATTCTTGTTTTGCATCAGTTGGTGATATTGCAAGCTCCTGCTTTCCGATGGATAGTTCTATCTGTCCTGGTCATTGGGAGTCATTATAGCCCTCAAGTATACAGTCACTATGTGTTAACTTCCAGTGCCAGAGAGTATTATTTTGACGAAAACAAAAGCAATTGTCACTGCCAGTAGCAGGGGTTGGGTTGGCACAAGTTTACCATGGGCTGTACACTGTCTATAATCAGCTTGAATTGTAAAATGTGGGGGCAACATTTTTTTAAATAATAATAATCTTGGCTATACACTTTAAGGCCCAGGACTTAAAGACTTGGTAGACCAAGTGTGACGGTGTTCTAGCCTTTTCCCTTTTTTGTTACACACATTTGCCTGCCTTTGACTTGAGCTACTATCAGCACACAGGTGCCAAACCACATTGGCAACCACATTGTCTGTAATGACTGCACTCTGTGTTATTTTGTTTATTTTTCCCACAGTGCCTTTGTGTTAGTGTAAGAGCTGATGGAGACTTCAGTGTACTTAAAGAAAACAAAACCTTTTTCTATCCACCTGTCTGTGTTTTCATTTATTTTCACGTGTCAAAGAAAGAAACATTCACCCGTAATTGAAATTACTATGGAAAAATCTCAAGGGAATTCTTTCTCTGTTGAAGAGAATTACATTATGTTTGCTTTGAGAAAGTTGAAGAAGACAAGAAGCTGCCTTATAGGCAGACCAGACCATTGGTCCATCTTGCTCACTTCTGTCCACACTGACAGCCCTGCAACTCTCCGGGGTTTCAAACAGGATAGTCCCAGACCTACCTGGAGATGTCAATGGCTGAAAATGGAGCTAAGGTGCATCACTTTACACTTGTTTCCATCGATCAGCATTTGCCATTTTACTGCCCATTCACTCAGTTCCTTTTGGAACTCTTCACAGTCTCTTTTAGACCCTGAACAATTTAGTATGACCAGGAAACCTGGCCACCTCACAGCTTACCCCTAACTCTAGGTCATTTATGAACAAGTTAAAAAGCACAGGTCCATTCCAACCCCCCCCCTTGAAATCTCACTTTTCTTGCACCCATCCACTTTTCAATAATAGCAGTGAAATATCTGCTCAGATATGACATGTGACTGGGCTGGTGCAAAATCCAGCTGCCACCCTGGCTCCATGCCTGGGTAAACATCTCCAGTTTATGGGCATGAAAAAACAACAGAGTACCCAGACATGGACAGTAGGCGAAGAAAATCCAGTGCAGTGTCCAAACAAACACACACACAAGCAGCAAAGTTCATCAGTAGTCGTTTACTGAGGTTCAGCTGGTTAAGAACATAGTTACAGCATCACTGGGTCCCCAGTGACCATCAAAAGCTTCAAAACATAGAGGCATAACGGAAGAACAATGAAAGACGAATGAAGAAAGATGAATGAAAAACTGCCTAGAAGCCCAGATATATCTCAGAATCTGTGACCTTGGCTCTTTAAGACTCAACAGAATCGGTTCATAAACAACAGGCTGCACGGATGCCAAAAATAAAACTGAAACTGAAAACTATTTCTAGACCAGAAAGAACATACCCTGACAGTATGAGGAAAGAGGCTGCGGTGTCTATGACGCTGCATGAGCGCTTTAAAACAGTATATAAAAAAATAAAAATTTATAAATCGTTTGGGAGGTATTAACACAGTCAGATTAATAAATAACTGAGGAATATTTGTGTATGTGGAAGATGCCAGGAAACAGGGAATTATGTTCACATGTTTGCATGCAAGAGTACAAAAATCTCTGTAAAGCTGACCAGGAGTCCAGAGGTAACATTATCAATTTACGATGGGGTGGAAGGTTCGCAGGCTATGAAGGACTTGCTCACAAACTTATTGACAGCTGCACAAATTATGATAGCTAGGAAGTGGAAGGGGAAAGCAGAATATAAAATGGAAGAATGGTATAAAAAGGTGTGGGATAGAGCTATTAATGATAAATTAACATGTGCAATTAAGGTAATATGGGGAATACACAGGAGAAATTATTTTGAGGAGATATGGAAGGTATTTGTAGAATTTGTATTGTTAAAATTGAAAGGAGTCAGACCATTGCAAGAGGTGTCAAAATTTTGGGAGGTTAGATAGTTACAATGGAATGGTCTCAGTGGCGGGGTGCACATTTTTATTCCTATTTATTTATGATTATGTCAAAAAACAAAAAAACCAATATTATTAGATATTTTACCTTTTATTATTTTATTTTACCTTTTATTATTATGCACACTAACACAAGAAGTAAGGCAAGAAAAATATGTAGACTCCAAATGTTTTCAATAAAGTTATACACCTGGCCTGGAATAGCTAAAAATTACTTTGGGCAAGCTTGATTTGTGAAGTTTTTCTTTGAAGGGCAGACCCCCTCCATCCTGCATTTGGAATGCATATGAAACTGTCTTAGAAAGTCCTTCTAGGGCCAAAAGTGCCTTTGCATGTGGCATGAATGGCTACTATTCAATGAGTACAAGCCCATGAGTACAAGAATCACAACAGTTATATTGAGGCTTGTTCCTTTAAATATGTTATTACCAAAAACTGCAGGGATTTTTGCCAATAACCAAAGGACTGGGAGGTGGAGTGGGTATTTCCTGCAAGTAATGCAAAGATCCTCTTCATGGATCACTGCCTTGCCGTGGCGAAGGGGCTTGAATAACTCAGAGAAGCTATGAGCTATGCCGTGCAGGGCCACCCAAGATGGACAGGTCATAGTGGAGAGTTTTGACCAAACGTGATCCACCTGGAGCAGGAACCGGCAAGCCACTCCAGTATCCCTACCAAGAAAACTCCATGGACAAAAGCAAGAGGCATATAAAAGTTATGACGCTGGAAGATGAGCCCCTCAGGTGAACTAAAATGGACGGGAATGGGTGAATTCAGTTCGGATGACCATCATATCTACTACTGTGGGCAAGAATCCCGTAAAAGAAATGGTGTGGCCCTCATAGTCAACAAAAGAGTGGCAAAAGCTGTACTGGGATGCAATCTCAAAAATGATAGAATGATCTCGATACGAATCCAAGGCAGTCCTTTTAACATCACAGTAATCCAAGTTTATGCACCAACCACTGGTGCTGAAGAAACTGAAATTGACCAATTCTATGAAGACTTACAACACCTTATAGAAATGACACCAAAGAAGGATGTTCTTCTCATTATAGGGGATTGGAATGCTAAAATAGGGAGTCAAGAGATAAAAGGAACAACTGGCAAGTTTGGCCTTGGAGTTCAAAACGAAGCAGGGCAAAGGCTAATAGAGTTCTGCCAAGAGAACAAGCTGGTCATCACAAACACTCTTTTCCAACAACACAAGAGATGACTCTACACATGGACATCACCAGATGGGCAGCATCAAAATCAGATTGATTATATTCTCTGCAGCCAAAGATGGAGAAGTTCTATACAGTCAGCAAAAACAAGGCCTGGAGCTGACTGTGGCTCAGATCATCAGCTTCTTATAGCAAAATTCAAGCTTAAACTGAAGAAAGTAGGAAAAACCACTGGGCCAGTAAGATACAATCTAAGTTAAATCCCTTATGAATACACGGTGGAAGTGAGGAAGAGGTTTAAGGATTTAGATTTGGTGGACAGAGTGCCTGAAGAACTATTGATGGAGGCTCGTAACATTATACAGGAGGCAGCAACTAAAACCAGCCCAATGAAAAGGAAATGCAAGAAAGCAAAGTGGCTGTCCCACGAGGCCTTACAAATAGCAGGGGAGAGAAGGCAAGCAAAATGCGAGGGAGATAGTGAAAGATACAGGAAATTGAATGCCGATTTCCAAAAAATAGCAAGGAGAGACAAGAAGGCCTTCTTAAACGAGCAATGCAAAGAAATAGAGGAAAACAATTGAATGGGGAAAACCAGAGATCTGTTCAAGAAAATTGGAGATATGAAAGGAACATTTCGTACAAAGATTACCATAATAAAAGACAAAAGTGGAAAGGACCTAACAGAAGCAGAAGACATCAAGAAGAGGTGGCAAGAATACACAGAGGAACTATACCAGAAAGACATAACATAAAATTTTTATTACGGCCATAGGCCCATACAAGTAAAAACAACACAGAAAGAAATGGATGTCTCGTACACCTCAGGTAGTGTGGTTGCTGACCTTGAGCCAGACATCCTGGAGAGTGAAGTCAAATGGGCCTTAGAAAGCACTGCAAATAACAAGGCCAGTGGAAGTGATGGTATTCCAGCTGAACTATTTAAAATTTTAAAAGATGATGCTGTTAAGGTGCTACACTCAATATGCCAGCAAGTTTGGAAAACTCAGCAGTGGCCAGAGGATTGGAGAAGATCAGTCTACATCCCAATCCCAAAGAAGGGCAGTGCCAAAGAATGTTCCAACTACCGCACAATTGCACTCATTTCACACACTAGCAAGGTTATGCTTAAAATTCTACAAGGAAGGCTCAAGCAGTATGTGGACCGAGAACTCCCAGAAGTGCAAGCTGGATTTTGAAGAGGCAGAGGAACCAGAGACCAAATTGCAAACATGCGCTGGATTACGGAGAAAGCTAGAGTTCCAGAAAGACAGCTACTTCTGCTTCATTGACTATGCAAAAGCCTTTGACTGTGTCGACAACAACAAACTATGGCAAGTTCTTAAAGAAATGGGAGTGCCTGATCACCTCATCTGTCTCCTGAGAAATCTCTATGTGGGACAAGAAGCTGCAGTCAGAACTGGATATGGAACAACTGATTGGTTCAAAATTGGGAAAGGAGTACGGCAAGGCTGTATATTGTCTCCCTGCTTATTTAACTTATATGCAGAATACATCATGCGAAAGGCTGGGCTGGATGAATCCCAAGCCGGAATTAAGATTGCCGGAAGAAATATCAACAACCTCAGATATGCAGATGACACAACCTTGATGGCAGAAAGTGAGGAGGAATTAAAGAACCTTTTAATGAGGGTGAAAGAGGAGAGCGCAAAATATGGTCTGAAGCTCAACATAAAAAAAACGAAGATCATGGCCACTGGGCCCATCACCTCCTGGCAAATAGAAGGGGAAGAAATGGAGGCAGTGAGAGATTTTACTTTCTTGGGCTCCATGATCACTGCAGATGGTGACAGCAGTCACGAAATTAAAAGACGCCTGCTCCTTGGGAGAAAGGCAATGGCAAACCTAGACAACATCTTAAAAAGCAGAGACATCACCTTGGCAACAAAGGTCCGTATAGTTAAAGCCATGGTTTTCCCAGTAGTGATGTATGGAAGTGAGAGCTGGACCATCAAGAAGGCTGATCGCCGAAGAATTGATGCTTTTGAATTATGGTGCTGGAGGAGACTCTTGAGAGTCCCATGGACTGCAAGAAGATCAAACGCATCCATTCTTAAGGAAATTAGCCCTGAGTGCTCACTGGAAGGACAGATCGTGAAGCTGAGGCTCCAGTACTTTGGCCACCTCATGAGAAGAGAAGACTCCCTGGAAAAGACCCTGATGTTGGGAAAGATTGAGGGCACAAGGAGAAGGGGATGACAGAGGACGAGATGGCTGGACAGTGTTCTCGAA